GCTGTGAGAGGTCGATAGGATTATTGAGGAATTCTAGGATTTGAGGAGTTCTCTCAGTATGAAGTCTATATAAGAGACCAGCTAGGGTCACCTAATCATAAGAACATATAGTCTTACCCTTATGGCGTACATAAGGGTACATAAGGGTCCCTTTAACATTCCTAGAATCCTAAAGACCGTCTACAGACTGAAATCAAAACAAACAAGTGCCCAGACGCTATAAGCCGGCACGCGGCGAAGACAATAGAAATACCAGTAAGCCGGTACTCGAAGAAACCGGTAATCCAATTAATCAAATCAAATAATCAAATCAAATAATAAATCAAAATATTAAATCCAAAAAAGCGACGTTAACACCTCGGATGGATAAAAATCGTTATCCCCACTAGTTTTAACGTATTCCTACCGAGGATATAAGCAGCGGCTTCCTCGATAGGAACTCACTCAATTCAGTCGGTCCACTCAACGACACCACTAGATGACAAGAAGCCAGTAAAGATTTGAAAAGTATAAATTATTAAAAAGCTAGGAGAAAACCAATCCTCTGTTCCAGAGCGAACCAGTGAACAGTATTGTACTGCAAACTGTGGGAACTCATCCTTGGCATATCCTGGTCTTGGAAAGCATTGTGTCTCCACCCTGTATCAGGAAATCTGCCATCCTTGTAGATATTCTGCATCAAAGGCATTGTGCTGCTGGAGCTGTCAGAAATCGACCACTACAGAACAACCACACTCCTTAAAAAGCTCAGCTCCCAATATCATTGTGATTAGTAGTTGTCTGAGCATCCCATAGCTCTTACCAGGCCTAAGGAATCATTGTGATACCCCCTAGTGTCAGGAAGGGCATCCCAATTCCCCCTGCATTCTCCTGCAGCGAAGTTATTGTAATAGAACTGTCAGGACTGCAGACCATCCACAAAAACAACCCACCTTAAAAAGATTCAGCTGTCTGAGTCGAATCTATCCTTAAGATAAGGGATTCAGCAAACGGGGTTCATTGTGATCTCCTGTGGGTACTGAATCATTATCATCCTAACCTTCAACTGGATCACGGTCTTCGGACGCATTGTGCAATCTGCTGTATTGTGGTTCCAGCTACCTCTCTTCAATCCAAAAGGCTAGCAGAGATAATAAAGTAAACAAAAACACTTCTTGTCGCCTGTGGTATTACAGGCAAGCTAGAGACAATTGTAAAGTGTGTGTGTGTGTGTGTGAGAGAGAGCAAAATAGAATTTTAAGGATACCTAGTCTGTAATTTATAGGACAATATATCATTATTTTGTTATTTTAAAAACTCCAGTGTCTAAATTGTTTCTAAAGACGCCTGTCCAGTGCACAAACCTTACAAAAAGTGTCGTGATTCCTAAGACACAAAAATCACGAAACGTCTCAATAGACATTTGTTATTTGATAACTTTTAATATGTATAGATACTTTTCAGGTCATGACCCTGATATATCCCAAAGCAGATCTACTCAAGTAAATGCAATCTGTAAATTCTTTTCAGCACATCAAATTTTTCGATTGCCTCATGTAAATCCTAGAACGCTGAGTAGCAGGCCACGTGCTTACACTACATGCCAGCGCGAGGTATGAAGCAAGACTCTTCCTGCAAGATCATCAATCCCCCAAAAAAACACTTACGTGTAAAAAACTACGCCAAGTAAATGAGTACTGTGAATTCCTGTAATAAAAAGTATTGAAATCATATTATTGAGGCCAAGTACATAAGTCACTACATGTTTGCCTATTATATGATCTAGCACTGGCCCATCATTTTAATTGTATTTTCTGATTAAGTCAATTAGTCATTTTCTGATTTTATTCTTGCAAATATATATATATCTAAAAACGCCAGACGATACTACACACCCTGGCAGTCTAACTAACCTTCTTGACAGTTCGGCATATCAAGATTATTTAGCAACTAAAGATGTTGTTAAAAATGGTTTATGCGGATCGGCCTGCGTAGGAATCGTCGGGAGCAGCCGAAAGTCGTCGGCCAATGAGAGGCGAGAAAGAAAAGGAGCGCTCGAGGCCGCACCGGCTTCCCAGCTCTAGTCAGTCGCTAGTCAAACATAGTCGCGAACAAAGAGCAGATCGCAAAGAGAACATTTATTTGATAGTTATACGCGTAAAGCAATAGCAAAGATTATTTTAGTTATTATTTGTTGTAACCACGCTCTGCCACCAGTACAAATAAAAGCAAAATTTTTGTTTCACGGGACATCTCCTATCGTTAAAATTTAATAGGTTATGGGCCCAGTCACGAGGACTGCGGGTGTTCTGTGAGTTTGTGGAAAGTAGCAGAGTCGCGGTATTGTGCGCGGAGTGAGAAACTTCGAGAAGTGCCGACGCGCGGGAAGCGTGGTGTATGTACGAGGCACGTGGAACGAGAGTTCGGCCATATTGGCATCGTGTTCGTGTGAGATATTCGTGCGCGGTGTGCAACGGTTTTGGAATTCGAGATGGCGGAAACAATCGACGGCGAAAAATGTAACGAAATTTGACGGGTCGGACTACCAAGGATGGAAGTTCGAAATGCGAGTCTTATTTATAGCACATCGTATATGGGGCATTGTTAACGGGTTGAGTGCGAGGCCGGCGGAAGACGCGGCGGCGATCGCCACGTGGGAAACCGACAATGCTCGCGCCATGTTTCTCATGGTGTCGACGATCGAGCTTGAACATAGACGACCGTTGCTTACGTACGACACAGCTCAAGAAATGTGGCAAAAATTATCTAGAATGCACGATCAAAAATCAGCAGCAAATAAATTATTATTATCGACGAATCTCTACGAATACAGAATGGAACCAAACGACTCAGTTATCCAGCACGTGGCAAAAATTCGAAATATGGCGGCGCAACTGAAGGATGTGGGGGGAAAAATTCTGCGACACGGCCATCATGGCAAAAATACTAGGCAGTCTCCCGCCGAAATATTCCGGTTTTCAAACTGCATGGGACAATGTACCGTAGGACATGCAGTCGCTCAAGAATCTCGAAGAGAGATTACTTCGCGAGGAAAATAGATTATCGGCGACGGATGACAATCCTGGTGCATTTGCGGCAACGCGCGAGTGGAAAAAGAAAAAGTACAAAAACAAAATCAAATGTTACCGGTGTCAAGTTTCTGGACATTTCGCTCGAGAGTGCAAAAGCAGAAACCCAAAGAGTGATCGCGAAAATAGTGACAATCGAGAGTGCGCGTTCGTAGTAGACTGTGATATTCGTCCAACTCATCCGAGCGTCGGTAAAAACGGGTCGAGCAAGATACCGACCGAAGTCGCGAACGCGATACTCAGTGCGGATAAAAGCGAGGCCTGGCTGACCGATAGCGAGGCATCTCGACACATCACGTTTCGTCGCGAATGGCTCGAAAATTGTCACGAGTTACCCAACGGTGGTACAGTCACGCTCGTGGATGGAAAAGAATGTCATGTCGTTGGTGAAGGAACTGTCAATATAAAGAAATATGTGCGCAGCGGTTGGAAATCTTCGACGATCGCACATGTGCTGTATGTGCCGAAGATGCGTAAGAACTTGTTCTCGGTTGGCGTGTGCGCGAGAAAAGGAATCGGTGTCTTCTTTTATAAAGACGTCGTGAGCTTCGAAAATCGGGGTTTAATTATCGGACATGGTGTTGAACAGGAAAACCAAATTTATAGAATACTTTTTAAAACATCATGCACGAGTGTCAAAGGTGAAGCCAATGCGGTTGGACTCGACTCTAGAATTTGGCACGAGCGTCTCGGCCACGTGAACACTAAAGCGATGCAAAAATTAGTGAAAGACGATCTCGTAAAACGCGTGCGATTCACCGATGGAAACGAAAATTATTGTGGACCTTGCCAGGAGGGAAAATCACACCGGAAGCCGTTCAAGAAAACTCGAGATAGGAGTGTTGCGGAAATGCGGTGTTACGAGCAGTTAACAACGAGAGCGACGATCCAGTGCTTCCGAAGCAGGAGCTGGTCGCTGCAGTGCCAAGAGATGACGAGCCCGGAGAGGAAAGCGAAGACAATGAAGTTTTTATGTAAGCCGAACGAATGGATCAACCCAGAGCAGAGAATCAGCCCGAAGGAGTGGATCAACTCAAAGCAGAGAATCAACGCGAAGATCGTGATCAAAAGGAGAGGCTCCTCCGCAATCAGAGTCTGATACGTCGCCCTTCTCGTTTCGAGACGAATGTCGCCGAAATAAACATTTCAGAGACGTATCAGCAAGCTATCTCGGACGAGAACTCCAAAGAGTGGCAAGGAGCCATAAAAACGGAGTTAGATTATCATCGAGAGAATGGGACATGGCCCTTAGTCAAACGACGAGATGGAATGAAGACGATCGACTCTAAATGGGTTTTTCGAATCACTCGAAACAAAAATAATGGATCTCGTCGCTACAAGGCTCGCCTCTGTGCAAGAGGATTTATGCAAAGAAATGGGGTGGACTATCACGAGACTTATGCACCAATCGTGAGATATGACTCGATACGAGTTCTTCTCGCTATCGTCGCATTCAAGGATCTCGAACTCGCGCAGTTTGATGTGCAAACTACCTTTTTATACGGCAAACTGGACGTAGAGATGTTTATGGAGCTAACCGAGGGCCTGGTCGAAGAAGAGGACAGCAAAAACACCGTTTGTCGATTAGAAAAATCTCTCTATTGGGCTGAAGCAGTCACCAAGGTGCTGGAACTAGGAGTTCAGCAGGTTTCTCAATCGATTCCAATTTCGTGAGACGAATGCGGATAAATGCATTTTCGTCGGTCACGTTGGTGAGACAACAGTATATCTGGCGCTGTTCGTAGACGATGGACTGGTTGCTGCAGAAGACGCAAAAATCATCAAGCTGGTGCTAAGTCATCTAAGCAAGAGATTCAACATCACGTTGGGGGACTTGAGTCTGTTCGTTGGTCTTCAAATACAGAGAAATCAATCAAGAAAGTCTATCTTCATCCATCAAAGTGGATATGCAACGAAAATCTTGGAGAAATTCAAGATGGCCGATGCAAAATCGTCAACCACTCCCAGTGACGCGGGTACAACGCTCTATCCGCTCGTTGAAGGTGAAGAGGGGACATCAAGAGTGCCGTACATGGAGGCAGTAGGATCCTTGATGTTTCTATGTATCGTGTCAAGGCCTGACTTGTCGTACTCGGTAAATCTCATCAGCAAGTTTCTCAATCGTCACAGTGAAGAACATTGGCGCTATGAAGAAGATACTCGCATACGTGGCAGGAACCATAGACTACGGCATCTCGTATCAAAGCGGCGGAAGCAACGGACAAGACACTACTCTCCTGGGATACTCCGATGCCGACTTTGCCGGTGACGTCGAGACGAGGCGTTCGACAAAGGGGTACCTGTTCGAGATGGCGGGAGGTTCCGTGACGTGGGCCAGTCAACGGCAACGGAACGTTACTCTGAGCACGACAGAGGCAGAGTACAAGGCGGCGTCGATCACGTCACGAGAAGGTATCTGGCTACGAGGACTTCTCTCAGAAATCGAATGTCCATGCAATCAAGCAACGGTTATTCACATCGATAATCAGAGCGCCATACGCCTGGTAAAGAATCCCGAATTCCACAAGCGGACTAAACATATCGACGTACGCTACCATTTCGTTCGAGAGAAAGTGTAATCGAACGAGCTGAAGATCGAGTATCTTCGAACTGAGCAGCAGAAGGCGGACATCTTTACAAAGGCTTTTCCAAGGAATCGCTTCTGTATGCTGAGGGAAAGCATCGGAATAACCATGGACGAATCCAGCACAAACGGCGAAAGTTTAGAAAATGGTTTATGCGGATCGGCCTGCGTAGGGATCGCCGGAAGCAGCTGAGAGTCATCGGCCAATGAGAGGCGAGAAAGAAAAGAAGCGCTCGAGGCTGCACCGGCTTCCCAACTCTAGTCAGTCGCTAGTCAAACATAGTCGCGAATAAAGAGCAGATCGCAAAGAGAAAATTTCTTTGATAGTTATACGCGCACAGCAATAGCAAAGATGATTTTAGTTATTATTTGTTGTAACCACGCTCTGCCACCAGTACAAATAAAAGCAAAATTTTTGTTTCACGGGATATCTCCTATCGTTAAAATTTAATAGACGTCATTGACAAAATACCAAAATACGATGGCAAAAATTATAGATTCGGGGATTTCGATACCGAAATTAAAGCTTTACAGCAAGGCCTACCCGCCGGAGCCGAGACAAGGCTTATGAATGGAATTCTTGGCCTCCTATGAGGACGGGCAAGGACTCACGTAGAAGGCAAATCTTTTGTCACAGTCGAATCCTTTTTAAAAAATCTAAGAGAAAAATTTGCTCCTGACCATGACTACGAACATTATCGCAGCCGACTCCTAGATGCCCGAATGAGAAGCGACGAAGACGTGTCCGATTTCTACTCGCGCCTTCAACGCTATATTCGACGAGCTGTTAGCGAAGTCGAAGAAACAGATGGTACCAATGAGGCAGCCAGCATCAAGAGAAGACTTGAGGCTCGTGCTCTTGATGTGTATATAGATGGCCTGCCGAACGGAATAAGACCATAAGTTCACAGTCGTGATTCGGCGACTTTCAAGAATGCCTGGAAGCTCGCGTTAAAGGACGAAAAACCTTCCCCCGTTCGTTCCCGGAGCAAGGAAGGCACATCTCGGGACGAAAGGATGTCGCGCGCGGGTCAGTATAACGATAGTTCTTCGGAAGATGAATATCGGTCCACATCGCGTGATAGAGATTTCTCGTCGCGTCGACGGGTTTACACGGTCGGTGCTGACCACTCTCTATGCAAGGCGTGCCGCGAATATTCATGTCGACCTCAACAGCGTGAGACGCGAATCAGTGGTCGAGGAGACAGTAGTTCGCGTGAAAGAAATCGCCGTAGAGATAGAGATAGAGGTAGTTCAACAAGGGCGGGCAACGGAACGTGAATTCCTACAGTTTAGGGACCCTACTTCTCCTACTAAGACGAGCAACGACAGGAACCCTTCTTTAAACCAGGAAGCTGGTCGCTCGTATGACGCGTCCGCGACCAATCCTTTGAAACCGCATCTAACCCCTGCGATGAAATCTTAAAACTTAATCGTCAATCTGCAGCGAATCGCCCGACAGCTCAAGGAGATCCAAGCTGTTAACCGATTCCAGGGCGGTAGTGAACATGATAGAGGTTAACGCTCTTCGCGGAAACGTGATGATCAATGAAGGTGAGCGCGTATGAGTGCAGGGAATTTCGGATAACGCGTCATCAGTACGATTGCAAGCAAGCGGGACCGCGACAATCAAGTTGTTCTCACAACCAGTGAAGTTCGCGCTCGGCCTGTGTGGTGCAGGTTCCCGCTCGAACACGCAAGTCAATACCAATAAACGTGAGAAATTACAAAATCAAGGAAGGTTATCTCCCTCAGCTTCCGACGGATGAAGGCAATTTCATAGGCGAAGCCGCCGTCACTAATCATGATGGAATCGCCTACGTCATGGCAGTCAACACTGCGACGCATGACGTTGAAATCTCCATTCCTCCTCAACAGTTAATTCCGTTTGAGTATCGTGGCCCACCGGAAGAAATTTCCAACTCCGATTCGGTCGACGAAGCAACTATTGCCGGAAAAGATCGAGTTTCCGCTGTGCTAACCGTACTGAGCACTGACCACCTCAATATCGAGGAACAAGAATACGTGCGAACACTAGTGACTGCGTTTCCCGATCGCTTTAACCTATCAGATGACAAACTGAGCCGCTCAAATTCGATGCGTTGCACAATTCCTACTATCGATGACGTCCCAATTAACACCCGGCAGTATCAGTACCACGTTGTTCACAAGAAGGCAATTAACCGACAGATAGACAAACTCCTGAAGGACGGAAAAATCCAACCGAGCGCTTCACCTTATAACTCTCCATTATGGATTGTTCCGAAGAAACCAAACGCCAACGGCAAACGCCAATGGCGTGTGGTCATCGACTCCAGAGCGCTGAATGAAAAAACTCTTCCGGACGCATATCCTCTTCCCAATATCACTAACATCCTAGACCAGCTGGGAGGAGCGAAATATTTCAGCATCTTCGATCTTGTCATCGAGTTTCATCAAATTGAGATGGATCCTAAAGACCGCCCTAAAATCGCGTTCTCGACACCAGAAGGGCACTACGAATTCACCGTTCTCCCGTTTGGACTTCGCAACGGGCCGGGCCGCCCGTTTTCCAGCGACACACGAACGTTGCTCTTTCCGGATTCCATGACATCGAACTCTTTGTTTATCTGGACGACATCATCGTCTATGCACCCACTCGCGAAGAACACGGACGCAGAGTCAGGAATATGCTGACGCGACTTCAACAAATCAACCTGACGCTCCAAACCGAGAAGTGCCAATTCCTTCGCTTGGATGTGACGTATCTGGGACACATTATATCCAGCGATGGAGTGAGATCTGATCCGATGAAACTAGAAGCCGTGAAGAAATATCCGCCTCCGATTAACGTCACAGAAGTGAGGCAATTCCACGTATTCACCAATTATTATCGTCGCTTCATTAAGGACTTTGCTATTTTGGCCAAACCCCTAAGTGACCTATTAAGGAAGAGCCATAAATTCGAAGGAATCGAGAAGGAGCAGAAAAGCTTCGAAGACTTTCGTGATGCGCTATGTGAACAACCTTTTTTACAGTATCCGGATTTCAGTCAATCCTTTGTCCTCGCCACTGACGCATCAGACGCAGGTCTTGGGGCTGTACTTAGCCAAACTATCAACGGAGAAGAGCCTACGCTTCTCGTTCTCTGAACCCAGCAGAAACCCAATATCATAGCAACGACAAGGAGTGCCTCGCCGCTGTGTCGGCAATCGGGTATTTTAAACCACACATATTGTAACATGACAAATCGATCGACCTCTCGATACTCCTATACCGAGAGCGTACTCGTTACAAGCAAACAACTAGTGTCAACACTAGCCGGTAGATGAAAAACAGCTCCCGAAAGTTATTCCGCGGGAAATAATAGAAAAATAATCCGATAAAGGATTAGCGCTTCTCGCTAATCAATTTA